TATCGAGTTATAATAAACATACTATAGGTAAGTATTAATGCACAGATGGCCAGAGCTTGACATTCGACCCCTTTTAGATTTGGGCATTTGCCATTGAATCAGAAATGACCAGCTTCAATGTTAACATTCGCAATGACGATGCGAGTTTTCTTAGCGAATCAGTTTACAGCTAACTAGCCTTGAGTGCATACCTAATCTTGCAGCCGATCAAGTATTGTTTATATCGAAGATATCTTTTTAATTGAAACTTCTTTCTTTTCTTCAAACCAATAAATAATGTAATACTAAATATTCTACGATACAAGGATAAAAATTCTACGTTATGTACGTTGATATAAAATTGTTTAAAAACTTTAATTAAATATTTATTAAATACTCATACGCAGTTGGTAAATCTGTGCGAGATACGTGAGATACAGATGAATCCATTGGACATGATTGAAAAATGAACTTATTTTTTCTCATGTACAACGAGTGCATATAAAATTCAAAATTTAACACCACACAAATTGTAAAGTGTTAAGAATAGATCCAGAAAATTTTCTCTATGCAATTGTCGCAGGCTCGGCATGAGTTTGAAAAAATAATAATTATTAGCGATAAACTGGATTAAAATTTCTGTGGTAATTATCTTAAATACTGAGAAACGTGAAACATTGAACGAGTTCGAATGTAATATTTAGTACACGTAACGTACAATAAATTTTGATTAAAAAGCCATTTGAATTACGTAAATTTAAATGGATCTTCACAAGGTGAGATATCGTTGATGTTAATACGTTTTACAAAGTATAAAGTAAAAAGCGATAGTCGTTTCTAATATTATGTTAAATTAATATCGTGATAAATATTAATATAAATTCAAATATTGTAATTATTAACAATTTTTTACGGCGAAAATTTAGAGATATCAAAAAATTCAAATAAGTATAATCGCAGTAGATAAACTTACACAGAAAATTTCTACACACATAATATGAATTATTAACTAATAACTGCTATTTTTATAACACCGTCCTATGTTATAAACTAAAACATTGTAAATTCTGATAAAATTAGTTCCTAGCATTATTCATTAACATGCAACTGCCTTGTACTTCTTTCGTCATACATACGTACCTTCAAGTTCTATCTTTGTAAAGTTCATTAATTACATGTTTCTCCGCAGTTGCTTGAATATACGTAATTTGATTAGTATAAAATAAGCTTCTAGCTTAGTTTGAACCTTAGTCCACATCGTTAAATTAAAATCTACAGAAACTTTTCATAGTTTGGCCAATGTCGCATACTTCTTTCAAACATACACATTTCTAAAAATAAATCGTTTGCTCGAGGTGCAACGAAATCATTGTCAGACGATCTGACAGAGACTATGATGACACTTCGCGCACGTGTCATTCAAAACAACATAAAACTCGCAGACGAAATGCATAACATGTATGCCATGTCGATCTATGGATTATTAGATCGCAATCTTCAATTGTTTCTACTGTGTTGATATACTATCATTCTAATCTACTAATTCTAAATCACTATTCACTAATCGCAATTCCAAACTGAAGCCGCCATGTAAATTTGACGGTAATTTACGGAGATTAATCCAAGAACAACTTTCGCGAATCAACAACTTGTCAGTAGATAATATCTACATAATCTGATTCTGAGATCACAATTGTAGCATATTGTGACGACTCGTATAAATTGTATATTTACTCACAAGTCAGAGCAGCAGCTATTCCGATGCGCAAAGTTATATTTAACGATGTCGCTGCACATTGGCGCAACTCCCAAGACTACTCGACATTATTTACAATGCATCGACCAAAAAACCCTGCTGGCACTCTCAATGATGATTCTGGTGCATTAACAATACGCTGTTTATAGTGTAACAACAACTCCAGTTGTCCTCTATTGACGTCTTATCCAGTTTACACTTTTCTTTCGCCTTACTCAACTTGAACTTAACAAAGGAATCTTTATTTTTAAAGAGAAATTGTTGAACTTGCAACTTCACTTCATCAAAATCTCGGAATTTTTATTTAAGCTTACACATAATTAAATGTCCTGTTAACATCATCCTGTCGATTACGATTATTTATATATTAATTTTTACATGCATTTCGTATGTATTTCATACATTCTGTTCACAGAGGTACACAATGGATTTTATATTGACAGCTCTTCCGTCGAAGAAAGATTGTAAACAACTTATCAATTGAAATTGTTATAAAGAAACTCTTAAAAGTCGGCAAGATGTTTTATTCCATTGTACATTTGTCTCGCAATGCCTAAGGTATTTTCCTTCTCTATAATAATAAGAATAATAGCCAAATTATACGAATTATAATAAACTAGGAATAAAAATTCGTCTTTATTAACTGTGCCTGTTATTTAACACGCTATATATAGTACAGTAGCTTACAGCGAAGCTTACAGTAACGATGAAAAGGAAGAAATTACTATTGTCACGATTACTTAAATTTACTTACAAAACTGACAAATACTGAACGAAAGGAAAGATGACGGTCTCGTACCAGTATCAAGTCGCAAACTCTACCAGAGGTGGATTCACCAGGCTCCTCTTTATGTGGAGAGGATCACTCTACAAACTCATCTACAGAGAGCTACTTTTATTTCTGATTCTCTTTGGAGCACTCTCCACTATTTACCGTCATATGCTTAGTTCCAAACAGAAAAAGTTCGTAACTCGATTTCTTGATTTCTGCTGTGCATTAATAATTTGAAAAACATATTAAAATTAATTACCATAAGAAAATATTATTTTACTTTTAGAGACTTCGAACAGATTGTTATTTATTGCGATAATTTTATTAATTTAATTCCATTAAGCTTCGTCCTTGGATTCTATGTGTCTTACGTTGCTCAAAGATGGTGGCAACAATATCAAGCGATACCCTGGCCTGATAAGTAAGTTTACGAAGAAAATATAAATATTAAGATGTGCGTAATAAAAT